ATGGTTATACTAGCATGGGAATTGGCAATAATATGGTAGACGGTGATTTCATTGTGCCTATATAATAGATGCATAAGTTCTACCTCATTGGGTAATTCTTACATAGACCAGGGTTCTTGAGTTGAATATATTGAAGACTAAAAGGCTGAATATGTAATGTCAAATATTAACTCAGTAAAGATATTTCTGTGGAACAAAGTACTTTGCTTCCTCATTATTTAGCTTTTAACAAGGATAGAATTTAAAGACTGTAGAAGTATTTGTCATCAACAAATCCAGTAGTATGTCTTTCTCAAAAAAAATAATGAGTAAAGGATAAATTTTACTGTATATAAATTATACCTCAATACATATGATTTATAAAAAAAATGAAAACTCTTAAGTGATTAGAGTTTTAAATAGCTGAAAGGCTGCTTCTTGATCATCTAGTTTTCAGACGTTGTTATGTTCTAACACTTAAGGAAGAATTAATACCAATGTTACACAAAATTTTGTCAGAAACAGAGTAAGAAAGAACACTGACATACCTGTTTTATTAGGCCAGCGTCACTCTGTGCCAAAATATGTCAAATATAACCAAAAAAAGTTACAGACCGATCTCTCTCATGAAATACTCTCCATAAAGTAAAAATAAGAGCAACAAATTGAATCCAGCAAAATAAAGGAAAATACATCTTGACCCATTACACGAGGTTGGTTCAGCATTTGAAAAATCAGTGAAATTTACTGTATTAACATAACAAAAGAGAAAATAAAATGGTCATTGCAATGATTTTATAAATGCAATACCCATACAAAATAAAAGTACTCAGCAAGGTAACAATAGAGAGAAACTTCCTCAACCTAATGAAGGACATCTGTGGAAAATCTACAGACATTGTACTTAATGGTAAAAGACTGAATGTTTGACTCCTAAGATCTGGAAGAAGATAAAGATGTCCCTCCTCTTTCACCACTTGGATTCACCATTGTATTGGAGTACAAGTGCAATACTGGAGTCAGTGCAAGACAGCAAGGAAAAAAAGGAATACGGGTCAGAAGAAGTAAAACTGTAACATTCTTAGACAATATGGTTATACAGGTAGAAAATCCTAAGGAATATTTTAAAAGGCAGCTAAAACTAATATGTAAATTTATTAAAGACATAGCATAAAGGTCAGTATAAAAACTAAGTGCATTTCCATGTACTAACCACAAACAATTGGAAAATGAAATTTTAAAAATAGCACATTAGCATTGTGCAGTGACTCATGCCTATAATCCCAGCACTCTGGGAGTCTAAGGTGAGAGGTTTGGTTGAGGCTAAGAATTCGAAATCAAGTTGGGCTACATAGTAAGATCCCATCTCTACAAAAAAGAAAAATTAGCTGGGTGTGGTGAGAAGCTAAAGCAGGGAAGCTAAAGCTATAGCAGTGAGCTATAATCGTGCCACTGCATGCTAGCCTGGGCAACAGAGCAGACCCTGTCTCAAAAAAAAAAAAAAAACCAAAACTGAAAAAACAAAAGACCCCACATTTCTAATAGCATGAAAATATAAAATGTTTAGGGGAAAATTTTAAAAAAGATATGTAAGATCTCTATACTAAGAAATATAAAGTATTACTAAGAGAAATTTAAGAGGATCTGAATAAATGGAAAGAGATATATTATGGTCATGACTGATAGACTATATTGTGAATATGTCATTCTCCAAATTTATTTATAAATTCACCACAATCCCAGTCAAAATCACAATAGTCATTTTTTTGGAAGAAATTAAAAAGTTTCTAAAATTTGCTTAGAAATAAAAGGAGCCTACAATAGTCTAAACTATTTTGAAAATCCATAAAGCTGAAGGACATAGACTACCTGGTTTTTTAAAATTTTTTATTTCAAAGTGGATCACAGACCTAATTATAATGTTAAAAATTAAAGACTTCTAATAGAAAACATAGGAAAAAATGTTCATGACCCAAAAATAGAATACACGTTCACACAAATATGAACTATAAAAGAAAAAAACTATTAAATTGAATTCCACAAAAATTTAAATCTGCTGCTTGAAAGACAGATTTCAAAAATGAAAATGCAAATCACAGACAGGGAGAAAATATTTGCAATACAGATATCTGACAGTGGGCTTTGGGATGGTCTGAGTGTTTATGTCCCCTCAAAATTCATGTGTTGAAATCCTAACCTCCAACGTGATAATATTAAGCAGTGAGGGCTTTGGGAGGTGATTAGATAATGAGGACAGAGCCCTTGTGAATAGGATTAGTACCCTTATAAAAGAGGCCCAATGGAGCTTGTTTGCCCCTTTCACCATGTGAGGACATGTTGAGAAGATGCCATTTCTGAGAACCAGGAAATAGTCCTCATGAGACACTAAATCTGCTGGTGCCTTCATCTTGAACTTTCCAGCCTCCAGAACCGTGAGAAACTTCTGTTAGTTATAAGCTACCCAGTCTATGGTATTCTGTAATAGCATCCTGGACAGTCAGACAGACAGACTTGTAAACAGAATATATGAAGAACTCCTATGATTCAACAATAATGAGGCAAACAACCCTGCTACACAATTGGGCAAGAAATTGAACAATCACAAAAGAATATTACCAATTGCCTAAAAGCACATGAAAATATGTTCTATATTATTAACCATCAGGGAAATGCAAGTCAAAACCACAGGAATGAATAGAAGGAAAAAGACTGACAGTATCAAGTATTATATTAACAAGGACGTGAAACAATGGGTACTTCACGCATTGCTGGTAGAGGTGTAATAATTGTATAACACTTTGTAAAATGATTTGGCAATTTCTTATAAGTTAAACATATACTTACCATTTAAATCTTGAACCTCCAATCCTAGGTATTTACTCAAGGAAAATGAAAATCTGAATCCACAGAAAGCCTTGTGTGTATGTGCATGTGTGTGTGTGTGTGCGTGTGTATCACACACAAGCTTTATTCACGCTAGCTAAAAACTGGAAACAGGAGAATGAATAAACAAATTGTAGTATATTCATATGATAAAATACTACTCAGCCATGAAAAAGAATTAACTACTGATACATACAACATGGAAGAATCTCAGAAAAAATTATGCTGAGTAAAAGAAGCCAGATACAAAAGAGTACATATTATAAGATTCCATTCTTAGAAAATTTAAAAAATACAAAAATAAGATTTTTGTATAATCTTATTTTGTATAATCTTATTTATATCACAATATTTTTATTGTGATAAAAATAAGATCACTGGTTGCCAAGAGTGGAAATGTTTGCAAAGAGGCATGAGGGAACATTCTGGAGTGCTGGAAATATTCTGTAATAGGGAGGTTACATAAATGCCCTAACTCAGGGAATTATGCAATGAAAATTTCACTAAATGTAAGCCATACATCAATAAAGTTTATTTTTTAAGTAAAAAAAGAGTTCTAGACCCTGCATTCTGACTACTTTGTCATATGGGAGCTATACCACACTTACCCACTCTATGATAAGCCTTTCTGGTTATTTCGATAAACTTTGCTCTGGTCAGAGACAATTTTTGTACTCACAAAATCACAATGCATTGTATTAAGCAAATTAAATGGTAATCTCACTAAAATGAGGCACAGCACATAGATGGGATATATGGGATGGGGATGGGATGCATATCCTGGATTCCAGTATACACTTTGGGACATTTATCTTTTAAAAATAAATGTAGCAGCACCTGAATTTTATTTTTTTAATTCTAAAGTAGGGATCGATGAACTATGGCCCATGAAGCCTGTTTTTGTACTACCCTTGATCTAAGAATGGTTTTTACATTTTAAGGGATTTTTTTTTTTAAGCAACTGATACTGTAAGTATCCCTTAAAGCAGGCGTCCTCAAACTATAGCCCACGGGCCACATGCGGGTGTTTTTGCCCCTTTGTTTTCTTACTTCGAAATAAGATATGTGCAGTGTGCATAGGAATTTGTTCATAGTTTTTTTTAAACCCCCCCCCATTTAAAAAGTTTGAGGACCCCTGCTTAAAGCCTAGAATATTTTCTACCTAGACTTTTACAGAAAAAGCCTTCTAACTCCCATTCTTTCCTCTTTAATCAGCACACTTTGCCTACTGGAACTACTCAAAACTAATACAGGATGACTTTTTTTTACATTATAATTCCAGATATTTGAAGTACTATTTAGTATATATTAAGTATACAACTTTATTTCCTTAATTGTCTGAAGATAAAGAAGTGAATGTTAAGTTGAATGGTATGATAGTTACTTCCCAATGAGTGCTATATTTCCCATGGGTGAGCCTTGTTGGCTATATTCCAGCCAGCCTGCTTTGAATGATGTTAAAGATGTGGAATATGCTTGCATTATTTCAGGACAGGGATTTAAAAACAACAACAACAACAACAACAAAAGATGTGGAAGAGCCAGAGCATCTATAATAGCAGGCGTTTATGTAACATGAGGCTCTCTCTTAGCCATTCTGCAAAAAACTCAGGTCAATGCTAAATATTTCTGGTTTATCTTAGTCATATAGAAATGAGGAACCATTTTTACTCTGTAGCCATGTGGAAAATATGAGAATAGTTTAGAAGGTCTTTGAGAACTTCTGGAGGTTCTAGAGGGTAATTTGTCTGTCAGAATAGAAGAGAGCTGCACTGCACTCTCAGCAGCTTCCTGATTTCTCCTTTATAGTTCGTTTGGACTCCCACATCAACCTTCAATCCTTCTAACTCTTCCTCGTCCTTTGTGGTCTCATACACCGGACCTCAAACCATAATTAACTTAGGTGCTGTGAGAATTTCGTTATTTCAAAATTCTTAAGATCAACCTGGGATGAAGGGACATCTAGACCTGCTTTAGAACATGTACAGTCTCTCTGGGGATCCCACATGTTCAAGCTGAAAGATGAATGAAATTGTGGTGGACACCACAGGGACAGGGCCAAGCAGCAGGCTGGTGTGAGCTAACGCTTAACATCTGTGAATATTTACAATATTTCCTTCCCTTCATCTTTTCTCTAGGCCTACTCTGTGTATGATGAAGACATTGGGTACTGTCAAGGGCAGTCTTTCCTTGCTGCTGTATTGCTGCTGCATGTAAGTATTTTCCACGTGATAAATAGCATAGTACTGCCAGGTTTATCTTCTACTGGCTTTGTTCTTCCTTCTTACTTCCCCGTTACCTGATGGAGATTACACATAGTGTATCTTTTTTAAACATGTACTTTAAGTGGTAAAGTAAGAGATCTGATGTGAAGAATAGGACGGTTTCTCAATAGAACTAATTTTTCTGGCTAGAAGAGAATAAATGCTTGTTTGGAGTTATTTTTAACCAAAACCCTCTAGAGTTAAAGAATTCAATGTGATTGTCCAAAATGCAGGACCTGGACCATTATGACCCAATATACTATGGCAAGGAAGTCTTTTATCATTTCTGTGATTTATTTTTTATATTCTCTTTCCTGTCAGATACCTTCATTTAGCAGAACATTTATTGAGCATCAATTGCCAGGTAGTGGGCTAGGAAATAGGATTACAAAGGTCAATCATTTATAATTTATGATCTCAAAGACCTCATAGTCCAGGATGGAGCACAAATTATATAGGCACATACTTACTATTTTTATTCTCTTTTATATGTCTTTATTTTTCTGGTGACAGAAATAATACATGCTCATTAAAGAACTTAAAGTGTGCTACATGAAAGTGATCCATAGGGTAAAAGAATAGAGAGGAGAATTCCCAACCCAACTATGCCAGAACTTTCAGGTTAGACTTTTTGGAGGGGGTGGCAGTTTTGCCAAACCCAAAGAAAATGCTGTAGTTTTATACTTGCTGGGCCTCTCTGCTGCATTTGGGTTTGGCATTCTGGAAATGAACACCAATTATAGTAAATTCATGGTCTATTTTGATAACCTGATTCTAATGATAATAGTGATACACAATGGTTCTATTGTGATTATTCACTTTATCTCACTTTGAGGTTGATTTCTTCCTCTGTTGCATTGTCATGTTTACAATCTCGTCTATCTTCTCCTTATTTTACTTCTTTCTTTGATATCCCCATATCCCATCTTTTTGGGACTTTCTCTGATGATCGAACACTTTATAATCACAGATTCTCAGGGGCCCTTGTTCTGCCACTAAATTCAGCTAGTATCTAGAATAGTCAGGTGCCTAATTCAAAAGGCTGGACATCATAAGCAGTGACATGGGTGTGTTCATCAAGGTTTTGAGCCATCTCTCTAAAGGAAGCTTTTATAATCACTTTGATAAGAAGCTAATGTTCAAGCCATAGGTGGTGAAGCTTTGTTTTGAACAAAATAATCTTTGAATATACCACAGTTTAGCAATTTTTACCTGTAGCCCTATTTAACATATTACAATATATTGATTAAAGTCACTGAGTCACTTTGGCAGAACAGATAGAAGAAAAAAATAAAATAAAATAAAGTCACTGAGAAAAATATCTCTCTGAGAAATATGTTCTGAGATTTGACAGAGGTTTAGTTTAATTGTAAGTTCATAATTATTTGGAAACACCCTTAATACTCACACTCCCAGAGAGAGAGAGGTTGATTCAAATAACTAGAAAGGCCAAATACCCAGAATTTTTTTCTACATCATCTGCTCTACCACATTATAAGGACCACATGGCAAGTCAGCCTTTGTTAACTTATTCAATAAAATAGACTCTAAAGTATGTCACAAGATGGACAGAAATTCAGTCCAGTCTTTTACACTTTTTATATTGATAGAATTATGCAGTGTTTCCATGGCTTATAAAGATAACTTGAAATATAGAAATATTTTCAGAATCCTTAAGGAAAAATTAACTGATATGCAATATAGTGTTAATGAAAAACATATTATATTTTAATTTTTAATTAGCAGTCTATGTGATAATTTCATTAATCAGCATATTCCATTAACTGACGAACCCATCCATCAACCAATTCGAATAACGGAAGTTATCTGTAATTTTTTTTAACCATATTTTTGCCTCCATGGTTTAAACAGGTAGAAGAATATAGGCTGGCTTAAACAATTCATCAAAGACACTATCTCAGGTTCCAGGGAGATACATTATTAGGGTCTTACTGACTAATTTTTTATCGGTTACATAAGCTATTGCTTCTTTTTGCTACCAGACATCCTTCGGCAGCTCCATATTAATCATTGTCAAAGGCTGCTTCTTTTGGGGATGCTGTCCTTCCCTCACCCACGGTCATTTATATTTCATATTCATTGCCTAAGAAGAAAGAAAAACTAAAAATGAAAGTATGTTTGAAAGCAAAGTTTTGAATTTTTAGGTTTTGCCATGTCTAAGTAGCTTTAAGAAATAATTAGCCTCTCCTTGTGCTTGGGAATTTCTTGATGTTTTGACAATACCTTTGTAATGTGTAGTAGTTTAAGCAATGGAAGAATTAATTGCTTATCATAGTAGATACTGTTATATCCATTTATGAAATTAGAAATATATAATTTACAGTTGGAGAATAAATGTTACAGTACATATTACTGGCAACCATAATAATGTTCAACTGCCTTTGAAATTAAATATACAATAATTCTTTTTTTTTTTTTGAGACAGAGTCTCACTTTGTTGCCCAGGCTAGAGTAGGTGCCATGGCGTCAGCCTAGCTCACAGCAACCTCAAACTCCTGGGCTCAAGCGATCCTACTGCCTCAGCCTCCTAAGTGGCTGGGACTACAGGCATGCGCCACTATGCCCGGCTAATTTTTTCTCTATATATTAGTTGGTTAATTAACTTATTTCTATTTATAGTAGAGACGGGGTCTCGCTCTCACTCAGGCTGGTTTCAAACTCCTGACCTCGAGCAATCTGCCCGCCTCGGCCTCCCAGAGTGCAAGGATTACAGGTGTGAGCCACTGCGCCCGGCCATGCAATAATTCTTAATATCATCATTATAATAGTCTTTATTTAATTGGAGGTTTAATAAATAATACCCTATTTTATATATATCACTTATTTTTAAAATCATAAAATATTTTAGATATTTTTTAACACAATATATTTTTCTATCATATTTATTGTCAAGTAGTTTTAAGTTTTTTAATTGAACTTGTACCTTTTTATACATTCAGAAAATTATGCTTATTTTTAAAGTTAAATTATTATATATATATAATATATATATATAATATTGGCCTGTGTAGAAGCTTTACCACTGCAGAAAGAATTATATTTCAATAATCTAGAATATTTAAAACTATATAATTTTCTTGGCTAGGCATGGTGGCTCACACCTGTAATCCTAGCATTCTGGGAGGCCAATGCAGGAGGAATGCTTGAGGTCAGGAGTTCAAGACCAGCCTGAACAAGAGTGAGACCATGTGTCTACTAAAAAATAGAAATAACTAGCTGGAAACTACTAAAAATAGAAAAAATTAGCCGGTCGGGGTGGTGCTACTCAGGAGGCTGAGGCAGGAGGATTGCTTGAGCTCAGGAATTTGAGGTTGCTGTGAGCTAGGCTGATGCCCTGGCACTTTAGCCTAGGCAATGGAGCAAGACTCTATCTCAAAAAAAGCAAAAAACTATTGAATTTTCTAAAAAACTATGACTAGGCACAGCTCCTTTAGAAATCAGTTTGGCTTTATCTGATAAAGATGTACATACCCAGAAGTTTCAGTCCTAGATATATACGTTAGTCAAATTTATGCAGATATTCACCAATATACATGTATTAGGGTTATCCTAGGATAAGTGTTTATGATAGTCAAAACATTGAAACAACTCACATGTCCACTATTAAAATGTCTAATATTTGAATTATAATCAGACATTAAAATGGCTAAATTGTGGTATGTTCATATAGTAAATATGCTAGTAGAAATGAAATGAATGTTTTATACTACATTGATTAATACGAATGAGTCACATAAAAATAAGATTTAGAAAGAAAAGCAAAGTGCAAGGTTACATTTGATATGATTCCACTTTGTATAAGGTTTAATAACAGGCAAAAGGAAACTCTATTTGTAGGGTGATATATATATATATATAACTAATATTTTTAAAATATATATATTTATTTTATATTATTATATATTAAATTATATATATAAATATATATATATTTTTATATATATGAACACCAATGAGGTGATAACTGTTAAGGTCAGGATAGTGATTTCTCTGGGGAGAAATTTGGGGTTATGACTGAAAAGAGACACAAAGTGACCTTCAGGGTATTGACAGTATTCTCTTTCTTAACCTGAGTAGTGGTTACATGAGTCCTTTGTAATAATTTGTTTTTATTTTATAATTGATTTGATTACTCATTAATGTATACATTTAACTTTTGTGCGTTTTTCTGTGTGTTGTGTTTCAGGATAAAAATATTTTAAAATTATAAATCCTTTAATATAGCCCCCCTAAAAGACAGGTTTCTGATAAGATTTAGCCAATGGAAGTAAGAAATGAGATGCAGAACTATTTACTAGTTTTCTTGAAAATAAAGATTCCACGGAATCCAAGGTGACAAGATAGAGGCTTCCAAATGTCTTTATATGTGTATACATAAGTAACATATTTGTGACATGATATTATTCAGGGACTCTTTCTGCTACATGTGGTAGAAGTCCAACTCTAAGTAGCTTAAATTATAAAGGAAATTTATTGGTTCATGTAACTGAGAAATCTAGGACAGAGATGATTTTGACATGGTTGGATTCCAGAGTTCATATTTTGTCATCAGCAATCTATGTGTGTATCTCTGTTCTTAGTGAGTGTTATTGCCTTAGTCATATGGACAGGCCCTAAAGTGGGCACAGTAGCTGCTAGCTGGCTGGGATTCACATCCTTTCAGTTTTATAACTTTATCGAAAAGAGACTATCTTTTGCTATAGCTCTTGCATTAACAACAACAACAACAACAGCAAAAAACCCATTCCCTTTCTTTTTCTTCCTGTGGGATAATGTACTTACTGCAAGAGTTTTAGTATACTTTTTAATAAGTCCTTTTAAACTTCCAAATCACTTTTCCTTATTGTTCAAGAGAAGGAAGCATTCATTTTCCTATTGAGATAATTCTTCCATCAAGTGCTTCTGAGCCATTTCCCGACATTTCTCTG